ATTTGGTCTGGGCCCGAGGTGGGCTTAATAGCCGGCGACTACTGTATATACAAATCTATAATTATTTACCATACTGGCAGCACAGGTACTAGTTAAAAGCCCAGACGTGTGCTTCGCCAATCGTATGTCGCTGAATGACGCAGCTGCGAGGGTTTAGCTCATCAATGAATCTCTTAGCGTCCCCCGTGCGCTTTCTGGTATATGGGTTCCAGTTTCCATCCTTCTGGTCACCTTAGTGGTCACTTTGGGTTTGAATCTTAATTCAACAGTAGTAAGAAATTGCAAACTTGGCTTATTAGAAGCGACTGACACCAACGTATGCTTCCGACACCGCCACGCGACTAGCTCGATTGATAACGTTTTATTCGATTCCAGGTTCAGTAGCTGAGTTCCTATTACATGATACCCAAACTGGCCGCGCCCATGGGTCAGAACATGTTCTCATTCGCGCTTACCTGAGCGTTCTTCTCATCCGTCCAAATATTGTCATATACAAGATGCCTTCAAGTCGAAAAACCACGACAATGCAGCACAACGGAGCTACTGCCTACAGAAATCCGGCCTCGCCTTAAGACACGATTCGAAGGAGCAGGTAGTAGCTAAGGGCCATTATTGAAGTAGTCAGTCTATGAGAAAGTTGGAGGATTTATTGAATTAACTCGACGGCGCCACACTGCCTGGATCAGTAAAGGAACTCTACACTCTTCTGTCCTAACGGCCCGTACCAGGCCCCATGACGATAGTTCTTTTAACTAACTCCGGAAAATGTCAGCTAGAGGGGACCGAAGAATATTGGATTTAAATAGTGACCTCCCTGGAGTAAGCTCCAAACGTCAGTAACACTCGGAAGCTCTGGCAAATTTTCCGTCCTTTTAGTAGTAGGTCCTCTGCAATAAGCGCCTATTCGATGACAAACTCATTACACCCTCGCTCTCTGCAGCAGGGATTTATCCCTATCCAGCCTATGTAGCATCACATGGCCTCCTTTCTCTGAGAGAAATCGCCTATGCAAAACAGAGGCTAAACAACAACAAAAAGCTTGAGAAATACGGTATTCATACTAAAATCTTCAGGTTCTTTGTCAACACTGGCGTCTGGTCACCTTGAGGTGATTCAACCACACGAGTAGGCGAGGATAGTTCCTAATGGCTATAGTTCGGGCATCCATGCGCGTGTCTTCAAGGATGAAGGTAAGACAACTTACGAGGACTGCTGTTGCGAAGGTCTTCATCGTTGTCATTCTCAATAGATTTACGAGTGTGTATGACTTAAGAAGGACGCCCAATCAAGCCGGATTTGAAACCACATGTATGTGCGCCTACCAGATGTTCATGTTATGGTGCATTAAAGAGCTCCGCCATGGCTATCAGCAACAGACGGCTGTCTGTTTTGTACTTCGTCAAAGCGTTCGATTGCGTTCCTTTTGAGTCATTTTGGCTAATAATAGAACTAAGTTGTATTCTTGTGAAAATAATAGCCATGGCGAGGGTTTACGGTGTGAATTCTGGTCAGTAGCAACTACAACAGGTAGTTATTCGATCTGGCGTTTGACGCGGCTGTATAATATCGCCCATTCTTTTCCATTGCGTTATAACTTCGGTAACGATAACTTGTGTGACTGCCCAAACAGGACACCGAAACAGAAACCGCCCACAATACATGCGGTTTTGCACCAGGTTCTGGGTAAACTAGTTTTAGGATTAAGGTAGGGGTTAAGGTCGGAATTGGGGTTAGAGTCAAGATTGTTAAAGGCTAAGGTTTGCTTTCATTTTGACTGTAGGGTTTAGAATAGTGTTAGGGTGAAAATTAAGGTTTCAGGCTAGTTTTGTATTAGGATTAGTGTTAGGGTTAAGACACGGGAATATTTATTAAATTTATTTTAAAAAAAACAATTTTAAGTGGGCGGGGCGCTCTTATTTCCGTGTCCTCTGTAGGCGGCCATATAAGTCATTCTTATCTAAATTCAATTCATCGTACTGTTTTGGCGGTGTTGAGTTTGCACCTGGACACCGGCTGGCCGATCTCGACTGCGCTGACGATGTCGCCTTGTTATCTTTAAGTTTTACTCTACAGAGCGCCACTAATGCGCATGCAGTGTCCGAACATTAGTAAGAACGTCAAAATTCGTCATTATTGAAATCATAACAAGCCCTACCATTTCCGGCATGTTCGTCTATATTCCCCGATTTTCGTCGATAACTGATAACCGATAATAATTTTGGAATTCCTCATTTGCATGGTAATCAACTCGAACACGGATCTCAAACGTCACTATTGAGAACGTCCAAATCACCAAGAAGGGGTCGTCCAATTTCACTGCGGTTGCATGTGGCAAGCAGGCTCTAGGCAGCGTCTCGCCATTGGATGTGATGACAATGTGTCCTTGGAACCTGATTGATCCATGTCTGCGAACAGTTTATCGGTTGTTCTAGTTTTTTTGGAGAAGATGGAGTGAAATTGTAGTCAACCTGCATGGGCCGCTACGGCTGCACGCATTTTTCTCAGTGAAATGACTTACGAGTTTCAACATATTTTGTACAGCTTATTACTTGCAGTAGCGTCGCGCACAGCAAAATTAGTACATATGTAGTCATCGAAAAGATTCAAAATTGTAATCGGCCTGCATTTCTACTAAACGCATCCTAACTTATAAGTGTGTTTTTTTTTGGGGGGGAGGAGGGTAGGGAGAGCCTAGGGCGAAAGCAGGCGTGAGATTTCTGCAATGTTCCTGTTTCATTGTTATAAAACAGCTGGACTATTTCTTGTGCCCTATGGCCTCAAAGACTTAACCGAATCCTGTCTGAGAGGACTTTGCTTTCCCTGTGGGTGGAATATTCACCCCAAGGCGTCTCATCCGCCGCCTCGCAGTCAGGGCGCTGGACATTATTTTCGCATCTTATTCAGTCAGTGTTGGACTTTGATATTTTATTGCGTAATTTGTTCTTCGCTTCCTGTTTACCTATTCAACTAGGTTGTAACTAATTGTTTTTCGATGATAGTTTATTTACATACGTCTATCGCTTTCAGATAGTCGTCTGGTGTCTATTTTCCCATTGGTGGCTCGCTGATTTACGTGCACTGTCTTCGATTTGTCCACCAAATCTTAACGCGTATTATTTTACCTTTGTAGATGGACTATTGAAGATCAAAGAGAAGGCAACAAAAAGGAAGGGTCGAGGCTTCACTACAGGTACTAAAACCTCCTTCTGTTTTACTTTTTATATTTACAGATACTGTCCCCAGGTCACAGCAAGACGAAGAGTTTGAGACTATCCAGCAGGATGACAACGAGGCCGCAAATGGCCCACAACGCTGTAGGCCGCTCTATATTTCTTTACGGGCGTTTTTAGCTATAGAGGGCTGGATCGTTTTTCTACGCAATGTGCACGAGGAGGCCACTGAAGACGATATTAGGGATAAATTCTGTGAGTACGGGGACATTAAGAATGTTCACCTGAACCTCGACCGAAGAACAGGTTACCTGAAGGTACGTATTCATAACCGCGCCTTCCCCGAC